ACAAAAATATTTTTTTAAAAAAGCCAGTTCTGACTCTAATATCAGTGCTATACTGCCCCTACTACACTAAAAATATAAGGAAGTAAAGATTGATTAAATAAAACAAGTGGATCAAATTTCATCTAAGGCAATCCAACAATTCTGAAAATCTCTTATTAAAGAATGGGAACACTGGATATAGTGGTGCATGCCTATAATCCCAGCAACTTGGGAGGCTGACACAGGAGATTCACAAGTTTAAAACCAACCTCAGTAACTTAAAGAGGTGCTAGTCAACTAAATGAGACCCTGACCCAAAATAAAAAGTAGAAAAAGGGCTGGGGTGTGGCCCAGTAGTTAAGCACTTCTGGGTTCAATCGCTGGTATTTAAAGAAAAAAAGGGGGGGGGGGGGCTAGCCTCTACTGAAGACTTCCTCTGTGCCAAGTACTAACATTTAACCTCAAAAGAACTCTAAAAGGCAGGCATTATTACTGTCCTCACTTTACAGTTGAGGAAACTGAAGCATAGAGAATTTAACTTAAATGTGGTCACACAACTAACTCTTACTACATTCTTGCCACATCAGGATGCCTCCTTTTAAAAAAAACACATAAAATGAGAATTTCAGGAGAAATTTCAGAAGATATTCCTGGGCACAGTAAATTTTACTCAAATGATCCATAAAAGACTGACCCACAACAGGTAAAGCCTTTACATGAACAATAATGATCATACAACATGGAGAGAAAAAAACTCCAGTTGTATATACTCAAAAGAGTTCAAATATTGGCTTCTAAAAATCAAAGTCCAACTGCATTCATTCAGCCTGTGTGTTTGGGAAGGAGTCCTGGACTTTAAGCAAGGGTGCTACTTTTCAGTGAGCCATTATGATTCCTATAGTAGCTCTCCAGCCTCACACAAAATCACAGCCCCCAGGCCTTAGGAAAGTGGCTTCTTCTAGACCAAAGTTCATTACTTTCCACAAAACAATCTTTCAGATCCCTGGCATTCTTACTTGTGGGCATTTTCACTCACCACAGAACAAACATCCAGAATTTGAATCAATAGTGGAACTGTTCAGTGGCACCAACCAAGTGGTAGTTCCTTAGAAAGTACATAGGGAGAAGTGACCCAAGAGGCCTGGTTTACTTGCCTAATTCCCGAAGTGACAGTTCCTTTTAAGGGAGTGCCTTGCCAGTCCAATGGGGTTAATGTGGACAGATAAAGGCACATTCTACTGCCATGTAAAAATAACTTTAAGTAAAAATAAAAATGAGCCGGTTGCAGCAGCACACCCCTGTAACCCCAGCTACTTAGAAGGCTGCTGCAGAGGACTGTGAGTCTGAGATCAGCCTAGGCAACACAGTGAGACCCAGTCTCATTAAAAAAAAAAAAAGGGGGGGGTGGTGGTAAAAATTCAAAAATTAAGACATATGCATACAGCCAGGTGTGGTGGCACAGGCCTGTAATCCCAGCGACTGGGGGTGGGGTGGGTGCCTGAGACAGGAGGACCATAAGTTTGAGACCAGCCTCAACAACTTAGCAAGACCCTGTCTCAAAATACAAAGAGCTGGGAATGGGGCTCAGAGGTTAAGTGTCCCTGGGTTTAATCCCCAATACAAAAAAAAAAAAAAAAAAAAAAAAGTACATGAAGGGTCAGTCCACAGCAAATAATCATTAAGGATATACTACATTTATGGAACTGTATAATGGACAGGGGAAATAGGAAAAGAAAAAAAAAAAACAAAACATGGGCCCACAAAGCCTATAGCTCCAACATTATTTTAATGTCTTGACCTGCATCAAAATTCACACACCACAATTAAAACAATGTAAGTGAAGCATAATGCACAGCCTAACAGTGAATGCCTTCAAAACCCAGCCACACTTTCCAGTCACCACAAAATATCCCCTCAGGCTTGAAGATGTCTTACTCTACAATTTAAAACACTGCCTTCTGCCAATTAAGGAAAAAAAAAAAAGGCTTCCATTCAGGTTAAGAGATCTGATACTGTGAAAGGCCTGTTGCATTAACCATTTCTTCCTAGACCTGAGACACATAACCATTTTAATCACAGAAAGGTAAATTGTTTCCCAGGTTAATGGTGAATCAAAAATTTACTTAATATTGAAATGAGACTATTAACCTGTCAGGATGATTTGGTATTAATGACTGTCAGTTAACTTTGAAAGAGAGAAGAGGAAGTGATTGTCATTAATTGCAATGTCTTTTTTCTTCAGTACTGGGACTGAACCTAGGGTCTTGCACATGCTAGGCAAGCACTCTACTACTGAGTTACATCCCCATTTCTACCTATTTATTTATTGTATGGTACTGGACTGAAACTAGGGGTGCTCAACCACTGAGTTAAATCCCCAGACCTTTTTATTATATACTTTGAGTCAGGGTGTCACTAAGTTGCCCAGACTGGCTTCAAACCTGAGATCCTTCTGCTTCAGCTTCCTGAGTAGTTGGGATCACAGGTGTGTACTACCATACACGGCTGCCATTATTCTTTATTGAGCACTAAATACAGACTGTGTATTTAACAGTCATTATCTCAACTGATCCTCACACCAACTCTGTGATAACAGATATTATTATATCATCCTTTTCCAACAATGCTCAGAGAGGTAAAGTGACATGCCTGCAATTACACAGCTAAAAAGTAGGGGTGTTCAGTCTAGAATGTATGATTCCAAAGCCTATCATAAATATTCCTTTGGTCAAGAGCAGACAGTTCAGGGCTGGGGCTGGGGCTCTGTGGAAGAGCGCTTGCCTAGCATGTGGGAGGTACTGGGTTCCATGCTCAGCCTCACCTAAAAATAAATAAATAAAATAAAGGTACGGTGTCCATCTACAACTAAACATATATATATATTTTTCAAAAATAAAGAGTAGACAGTACATAAAATAATTTCTACCAGGTTTCGAGACCACCTCAAAATAAATCAACAGATAACATTACCAGGTGAGTAAAACTACCATGGCCAAAACTTTGATTGTTCACATTATATCCGTTCCTTTAGAAACATACCACATGAATAAGGAAGGCAACAGGATATGCAGTGTCACCCTGACTAGGTGATTTACCTAAGGTATGTGGATTTTCAAATTTAATTTCCTTGTTTTAAAAGCACTACACCCGGGCTGGGGATGTGGCTCAAGCGGTAGCGCGCTCGCCTGGCATGCGTGCGGCCCAGGTTCGATCCTCAGCACCACATACAAACAAAGATGTTGTGTCCGCCGAAAACTAAAAAATAAATATTAAAATTCTCTCTCTCTCTCTCTCTAAAAAAAAAAAAAAAAAAAAGCACTACACCCAAAAGAACAAACTACTGTTGAGAAATTTAAATTGAACTACAACTGTGGAGTCAGTCCTCAGGAAAAGGAAAAGGGAAAAAAAAAAAAACTGCTAGTTTAATTTGACTTTCTCTTTAAATTATCTCCAGTTCTCAGGTAGAAGAAACAAGTGAGGCTGTTCCTAACAGCCTTGGAATCAAACCGACTCATTCCCCAGTCCTCTGGCAACTAAAAAGCAGTTTATTGCTATTAATGTACCACCAATAAAGCTACAGTATTCTGCTCTTATTGAAACACAATCGTCACACTGAACAAAGTAACTTTAGTCCGTGTTACACATTAGAGAAATATACCTATCATTTTATCATTAAAGTAGAAAGATGCCCTGCTGAAAATCAACAAAAGGTCTCCCAGCAACTAAAAAGCAGAGAAACTAAGCAAAGATTTCCTTTCTTTGTAGACATGAAACTCTCAGTCAGTCAAGAAAGATGGATTTTGTCACTTATTATTCTCTAAAATGGAAAGTGCCACATGGAGACCATAAATGGGGTAAATTGCATCTCGGAGCCATGTCCTATGTGCCAAGTTACAAAGCCTGTGAATACAAGGGGTGTATTAATGGAAAGACTGATACCATCTTACTACAGTGGCCTCTCTGTGGCTCCAGACAATGATCTGTTGAGGGTTTTCCAGGGATTTTGAATGTGCAGCCTCCACACAAGCCCCCCTTTAAGGGGACTGGCCCAGGGCTGAATAATCCCTCTTTGGAAAGAAAGCCAAAAGCCCCCCACAAGGGCTTCTGGGGGAGATGCTCTGCACTGCCGGCGTGGGAAGGCTCAGGCTTGAGAGACAAAGGAGGAGTGAGAGGTGTCAGCTGGATCACCCTGGGCCACCTGCCTGGTGGAGACCCAGACCCACAGAACGGGACTTCCCAAGACACATTCCCAAACGGCTGAGAAAAAGAAGCGCCTACAGCAAATCCATCCGCAAGGCTAAAGTTAGTCACCCCTTAAAGCAAACCACACACAAGGTATGGAGGCAGATAAGCAGGACCGGACGGGCTCATGCCCTCCAGAGGCTGGGCTGGCCCCTGACTACCAAGGAGGGGTGAGCAGTCGGCTCCCAACACTCCCCCCCCCACCGCTTATCTCCTCCCAGAAACAGCTTCAGGAACCCACAGGGCAGGACGCTGCGGGGTAACAGTCACTCCAGGAGCCCACGTTCCCTTCTTCCTCCCGGGACAACGCTCTGGAGCCAGGGACCCTGCCGCCACCCACAGGCACGTTCCCCGACCCGGCCAGGGCCGTCCAGGCGAAGGCGCGCTCGGGCGGCACTCCTGGGACCCCTCGGACCCGACGGCTCTCCTTCCCCGGCTCCGTCTGGGGCTCTGCCTCAAACTCCCGCCCGGCCCCACGGTCCTTCTCAGAACCCCCTCCCACACTCGGCGGCGGCCCCCGGCCCCGGCCTCTCCGCGGGCTCGGCGCCGCCGGCCCCGGGGCACCCCAGCCTCCCCACGCCAGGCTCCCCGCCGCGCCGTTCTAGGACCCGCGGCCACCCGCCGCTCGGCCGCGACCTCGAGTCCCCGACGCCCATTCCGGGTCCGCGTCCCTGCTCCCCACGCCCGTCTCACGCGCCTATTCCCGCCCGGGGCCCCCGTCCCTAGCCACCCCCGTCGCCTCCGCCCCGGGCCCGCGCTCCCCACCGAGGCCGCCTCACCTCCTCCATCTTCTGCACCATCTCCGTCAGCTGCCCCTCGTCCTCCAGCAGCTCATGGAGCTGCACCAGCGACAGCCCGGCGAACCGAGCCTCGCCGCCGGCGACCGCCATCCCCGCGTCTCCGCCGCCGCCTCCGCTGCTCGGCCGCCAGGCTGCGCCGACCGGAAGCGCCGCCCTCGAGGCCCGCCCCCCGCGGGGGGGGCACGTGACGCCAGCCCTGTGGCGTGACGTCATCGCCTCTCGGGCGGGCGGACGTGACGTGGCGCGCCGCAGACCCGCGGGGCTCTCGGCGGGTGCTGGGTCAGCAACGCTTTGGGGCCTCCAAGGGAGGAGGGGCTCTGGGGCCCATCTGATGACGCAGAGAACGTGGTAATGATGTCATAGCGGCGCTGGTGATGTCATAAAGCCTGTTTCCTCAAGGACAAGGAAGAAAGCCAAAGAAAGGAGGCCGTGGGAAGTCACTGCCGCCGCTGTGAGCCCTGCCTGAACCAGGGACCCCTGAAGGCCAAGACAAGACTAGATGCCCTTTGATTTCTCGGAATTGCGGGGCTGCAAATCGTTCATGTAACAAATACTTATGGAGACACACAATTCTGAATAAAACAAAGAGGACTCCGGGGACACAAGAAACAAGTAAAATGAGCCCCCAAAAGAAATGGATGCTGAAAGAAGAGAATAATAAGGAAACCCTATGTACGGTAGGGTTACCTTTAGAGAGAAGTAAGTGCTTGCTCTCTCAGAGAAGGTGGCCGTCTAAGGAGATGTGAAGATCAAGAAGGAAGGAACCAGTTCATTCCATAGGAAACTCAAGGCAGCAAGTCGGGCATGTGCAAAGGCCCTTAGACAGGTTTAGCTTGGTACATTTGGGAAATGGGGGAAAGCCAGAGAAGGGCTGGAGCACTATGGGCAAGGACAAACCTGAGTGGCTCCTTTGCACCATCTCAAGATGCCCAGACATCCAGTGTACCTCAGTGTGCCCTTATGGAGACAAGATGATTTAGAACAGAACTGTTCAGATGCCCCAGCTTTGGATGCCCCTGGAGATCCAGAAGTCTGGAAACTTATGATCCACCACAGTTCTCACTGGAAGAGACCTAAGAACGTCTAATCACTCCAGCCCCCTAATTTTACCTATAGGGAAACTTGGCAGAAGGAAGTTTTCTTGTTTTTCCCCAAAATGAAGTCACTGGCAGGTCTCCTGGCTCCCAGTCTGGCGCCCAGCAAGCTGGCATCATATCACACTGATCTCGTCGCCCCGAACACAGTCGGGACATTCAGTAAGTGCCTGTTGGCTGACTGATGGGCTTTGTGCGTGGAGACGATGGCTTTCCGACTCCCATCAGTAGAACACAAGGTCTGCGTTGTCCAGCCATACATTTGGCTGGCTCTGTTGGTCTATTCTGTCCCTCCTGCCTCTTGCACCAAGGACTCACATTTATAGAAAAGTGAGGAAAGCTAGAGGAGGCATTTCATATTAGCTGTAAACAAAATGTTTTATTGAGTTCGCAAAGGGCACTCATACTTTTCTTCCTTTATACTTGGTCAAGAAAACTTACCCTGAGAAGGAAGGGACACAATAAATAGGGAATTTCATCTAGGAAGTTGAACTTATGGTCAGGGTAACAGTGTTTTGCTTTTTTAAAATCTTTTCTCTCCAGAAAAAGAGTAGACCTGGTAGACTTGTAGAGAATTGTAGCTCTTATCTCCAGGAAATTCTCACCTAGGAGGCTTAAGATGTCCAGAAAATGTTCTCAGTCCCCACAGAAGATGAAAATAAGATTTGGGGTCAGAGAACTCAGAAGGTTGAGATGATTTAGCTAAGAACATACCAAGAGCAAGCCTTCTGAATGGTACACCTGTGTACAGTGACCTCTCAAGTGCTAAGTTTAAATGATGATCAAATCCCAGCCTTGCCAGGGCCTCTTATAAAACTCTTCTCAAACCTGTTTTCTCCCACCAACCTATTCAAGTCATACACCACTTCCTTTGTGAAAGTGCAAACCATAGAACAGAGCAAACCATAGAACCTTCTTGTTTTCTGCTGTTCTCAAAACTTCTTGTCACTCTTGAGAAGAAAAGAAAATCAACTTGATTCCTCATACTGATGTCAAGCCTGTCAGTTTAATGCATGGATGGACCTGTTTTTCCTTTTCTTTCAGTTGACTGAAATTTGGGTTTCTCTACACACCTATATGTCCTGTAATATTTGTGGGTTAAGCAGGATTTTGCTTTATGAATAAAGGGCAATGTATGTACGTGCTAGGGTTTCTCTCTCAAAGGAACACTGTTGCTGTGTGAGCAACATATCTCCTGTTACACAATATCAGGAATTGTTTGGAAGGCTCGTGTGCACACACACACACACAAATAGGTAATCTTCATGTAGTTGAGCTGTATGATTTTTTTGCCTTGGAATTTGAATTCTTTCTCTGCTATGAACCTTGATAGAATTATTCATAAATGTTTTCAAGTTTGGGAGAAGACGTTGACATGATTAAAAGATTACTAGCACACACTAAGTACAGCTGTGTGTAGGCACTGGAGGAATTATTCCCCAAGGCATTGGATGGAACAGGCCGTGCCCCACTGGGACTCATCCTGATGTCACCACCATGGTCACTGTCATGTACTAACACCTGAATTCCCCGAATGACTTACATACTAGTCATCCAGATGGGAAAAGATGTTTTAGGCACAGTCCCCATTTTAGAAGGTAAGAGAAGATATACAAACATAAAACATCATTTTAATAATCATAGTTAAGGTTGATGTTATTTGGGTGTATTGTAAAAGTAAAGGATGCAGAATTTTGGTTATTTTGACTTGAGATTAGACTGGTTTTGTATATTAAATTTTCTTTATTAGTTTTTGGTTACCACATGAGGTTAGTTTAATGAACTCTTTCAGGCATACAAAAGAGCAGGGCACGATGGTGCATAACTGTAATCCCAGTGATTTGGGGGGCTGAGGCAGAAGGATCATAAACTCAAGGCCAGCCTCAGCAGCAAGAATCTGTCTCAAAACAAAAAGGACTGGGGATGTTCGGGCGTGGTGGCACACACCTATAATCCCAGCAGCCTGGAAGGCTGAGTCAGGAGGATTGCAAGTTCAAAGCCCAGCTTCAGCAATTTAGCAAGGCCCTAAGCAACTCAGTGAGACCCTGTCTCAAAACAAAAAATTAAAAAAGAGCTGGGGATGTGGCTCAGTGGTTGAACACCCCTGGGCTAAATTCCCAGTACCAAAAAAAAAAAAAAAGAAGAAGAAGAAGATAGGATGTAGCTTAGGGGTAAAGCACCCCTGGATTCAATTCCTAGTATAAGAGAGAAAAAAAAAAAAAAAACACTGAAATGCTCACCAGGTTAAGGAATAAACATCCCAGAGGGAGTTGAAATCCCTATATATCCTTCCTCCTCGGTCTTATTTCCTTTCTCCCTCTCCAGAGTGTAGCTATTCTCCCACTTCATTATTTTACCTCATATGTATATGTCCTTAATGGAAATAATACACATAAGTGGACGTGGTGGTGCACGCCTATAATCCCAGCTACTTGGGAGGTGAGTTAGGTTCAAAGTCAGCCTAGGAAATTTAGGGAGAGAATTTTTAAAAAATTAAGAAGGGTGTGAAAATACTTTGTGTACAACCAGTGACTTGAAAAATTGTGCTCTGTTTGTGTAATATGAAATGAATTGCATTCTGCCATCATATATAACAAATTAGAATAAATAAATGATTTAATTTAAAAAATAGGAAGGGCTGGGGTGTAGCGCAGTAGTAGAGCAGCTGCCTAGCATGCACGCGACCCTGAGTTCAATTCCCAGCACCACAAAAAAATCCCCCAAACTACAAGTATGTACATACATGTATATATGTATGTACATGCGTGTAGACATGTGATGTGATCTGTTGTCATATCTGTGGTCCGTTGCATACATATGTAATAACTTTCAGTCATTTCTCCTGTTGATGGGTATCACAAGGTATTTATGTTTCTAGCTTTTTTTGACATGGCCAAATTGCTTTCCAAAGTGGTTGCACCGATAATTGTTGTTAATGTGGTGAAATTTATGAAACATAACACTTATTCTCTTAACCATTTTAACATGGTGTAGCCATTGTAACCATTGTTCGGCGCACAGTTCCGTGGTGTGGAGTGCACTCACGGGGCTGCCTACAGCACCACCCTCCAGTTCCAGAGCTCTTTTCATCTTGCAGGACTGAAATTCCCACCAAGTACTAACTCTCCCCCTCTCCTCCCAGCCCTGGTAACCTTGGACGTTCTGTCTCTGTGAATGTGACTACTCTAGACACCTCATGTAAGTGGAATCGTAAAGTATTTGGCGTTTTGTGATTAACAGCTGTCACTTAGCAAGTCTTCAGGGCTTTCCCATGTTGTAGCATGTATTTCATTCTTTGTAAGGCTGTATAATATTCCATCATGTGGACAGACCACATTTTATTATCCATTCATATGTTGATGAAGATTTGGGCTGTTTCTACCTTTTGTCTGATGTGAATAATGCTGCTATGAATATGGGTGTACAATTTTCTGCTCAAGTTTCTACTTTCGGTTGTTTTGTGTATGTACCCAAAAATGGAATTGCTGGGTCACAGAATATTTTCAACTTTTTGAAGAATTTCCATATTGTTTTCTGTAGCAGTTGCACCAGCAACGCACAGGATTACAACATCTCTACATGTGTGCCAAAACTTGTCCTTTTCTGTTGTTTGGTTTCTTGTTTTTTAATAACAACAACAGGGCTGGGGATGTAGCTCAGTGGTAGAACACTTGCTAAAATTTTGGTCCTGGGTTCATCCCCAGGACCAAAAAATAATAATAGTGATAGCTATCCTGTTGTTGTTTGAGAGGGTTGATAATTAGAGTTCTGTGCTCTAATAATTAGAGTGAACTTTAAAAATATATATATATTCATTCTTAAGTTTTAGGTGGACACAATATCTTTATTTTACATTTATGTAGTGCTGAGGATCGAACCCAGTGCCTCATTCATGCTAGGTGAGCGCTCTACTACTGAGCCACAACCCCAGCCCCTTGAACTTTTTTTTTAATATTTATTTTTTAGTTGTAGTTGGACACAATACCTTTATTTTATTTATATGTGGTGCTGAGGAACAAACCCA